CAGAACAGACAAAAATACACATACTGCATGTTTCTTTTAAAATTATATTTATTAAAATTTATTTTTACATAACTTTTTAATAAAGTTACATGATACGTGTTTGAACACCCCGTGTAAATTAAGAAATTTTCTATTATATTTTATTAATAAATTATTTATATAAAAATTATAATAGTAAGTTATTTTTATTTTGAATAATATATTGTTATCCTATCAACAACTAAAGTAACTGAAAATTTTAATGCTTTAACAGATTTATTAGAGTTTAACATATTAGGAAAGTTTTAAATTAATTACAAATAATCACATGAAATAATGTTAAAAAAAATAAATTTTTATTAAAACAATATAAGATTATATTCTAGATATGATAAAAAAAATATAGATAATTTTTTGTTGTAAAATTAACTATTTTGAATTATACTACTAAAAATAACCTGAAATTACAACATAAATCTTATCTACTAACTATTTGACTTAATTTCAACCAAGTAGAATTTTAATACTATTTATAATAAAAGTTAAAAGTAAAAATAATAAATAAAATAAATCATATACTAAATAAGTTAAATAAAATAATTATATAGTAATAAATATAATAAATAAATTAAATAAATTAAATAAATTAAATAAATTGATTTTTTTTAAAAAAAATTATCTTATTAAAATACTGATAAGTTAATAACTTTTAAAATAAAATTAGTATTTTACCAGTATTATGTCACAGTGAATTTTATGATAGATCTTGCTAAAAAACAGTGAATTTTTCTCTAAGATGAGATATTTTAAATGTTTTCTATTTACTAAGTATAACTTATCACCTAATAATATCCCTGTAAAAAATCTGATCTGTGTTTTATCTTTCCATGTTTTTTCCGTGAATGTATCATTTTCATGGAATTAATAACCTTAAATCATGGAAATTTTCATCTCGCTAACACGGATATCCGTGAATGTATCATTTTCACGGAATTTTTATGGAAGACACAGAGAAATAATGGAAATATTCAGATAAAAATTTTTTATAGGGTATATACAAGTAATTTGTTAGTTAATAATATTAGTATATTAGTATAGTTATATATTTTATATATTTTTTATCTTTTTATTACATTAATAAATTAACAAATATGCTGTAAGCAAAAAAAAAAAAAATTATTACTATTAAGAGATATGTTATAAATTATGTAATTATGCTCAATTAGAGATTTTGATTTCTTTATCTATGTAATTTAATTCTAATTAACTAAAAAAATATATATAATATACAATATATTATATCAATATATATATATTATAATACAATTATTTTGCTATCTAATAATCCAATTTGCATAAACTTTTTTTTATTTTGTAGCTCTTTTTATACTTTATAAAATAAAAAAAAATCATTAAAATTGAACTGTTAAATGATAAGATAATTGCAAAAAAAGCTTTTTATTATTATAAATAGAGTTCTGAACAGGTTGACCAAATTTAGGTAATCTGATAGGTTGACCTAAATTTATCAGTTTAGGTTTAGCAATTGCAATTTAGCATCAATTCAGGTTGTAACATCAATATAACTTAAATGATCTGTTGACCTAAAACTATTAATTTTATATAATAAAACTATAAGAGTAATGACATTTATTACATAATATCCATTTACTATAAGCTTATATCCATCCACCCTCATGTAATATAAATCTTATGTTATACTTATATGTTATATAACCTTCAAATACCCTTTCATCTTCTAAAATATTACATAATAAATGTTATTGCCTTAAAAGTGAGTTATAGTATTATAATTTACTTTTTATATTGATTTTATATAATAAAAGTGAGTTGTGATTAGTGCTCTATACGAGCCAAACTGGCTCATAAGCTGGCTCAAGCTTTTCAAGCTGAGCCAAGCCAAGCCATAATTAAATTGGCTTAGTAGCTCACGAACTAGATGAGCTATTATACAAAAAATGTTGCAAAACATTTTTATATAATAATGCATGCATAAATGAAATGTTTTCGCAATGTTTTTTTTATTGTTTATTAAAGAACATTATGAAAATGTTTATTTAATTAAAAAATAACGTTTTGCAATATTTTTTTTAATAATTTAAAGTAAAAATATTGCAAAAATGTTTATTTAGTTAAAAAATAATGTTTTGCAACATTTTTTTAAATAATTTAAAGTAAAAACATTGTGAAAACGTTTATTTAGTTAAAAAATAATGTAAAAAATATTGCAAAATGTTATTTTTATATTACTTTAATTAAAAAATAACATTTTGCAACATTTTTTTAATAATTCAAAGTAAAAACGTTGTGAAAACGTTTATTTAGTTAAAAAATAATGTTTTACAATATTTTTTCAATAATTTAATGTAAAAACGTTGCAAAACATTTTTTTACATTAATTTAATTAAAAAAAACATTCTGCAACATTTTTTTAATAATTTAAAGTAAAAATATTGTGAAAACGTTTATTTAATTAAAAAATAACGTTTTGCAATATTTTTTTAATAATTTAATATAAAAATATTGTAAAATGTTATTTTTACATTAAATTAAAAAATAATTTAAAGAAAATGTTGTGAAAACATTTTTATGATAAAGCTCGAGCCAGCTTAAGCTCAATTTGACTCGAACTGAGCTAAGCCAAGATTTTTTGTGGCTCAGTTCATTTCAGGCTTGTATTGATGCAGATCTTCAAGCTGAGCCAAGCCAGACTGTAGCTCAAGTGCTTGATTTAGGCTGGCTTATGTAGAGCACTAGTTGTGATATTGGAATTCACTTTTTTATATTGATTTTATATAATAAAAGTGAGTTGTGATATCAGAATTTACTTTTTTATATGATTTCAATATAAAAATGAATCGTAATATTTTAAAAAAAATGTTTTGCATCATTTTTTTTTGATATTTTAATAAAATTCTGAAAATTTTCAGGTTTTAGTTCAGGTCAGGTTAAATAGATAATTTGATATAACCTGACCTAATCTGACCTGAAAAAAAATTCCAGGTTAGATTTATTAATTAATCTGATCTAATCTGACCCATTTGGAACTTTAATTATAAAAGATATATTATTATTATAAAAGAAGTTGTTTAAAGCAAAAGCAAATTATTATATAATTTAATATAATATGAGTGAACTAATTTTTTTATAAATAAGATTAATATAAACTTAAAAATTATATTTTAGCCTACTTTGTAAGTTTACTTAAGGAAAAAAAATAGATTTGAACATTATTTTTAACTTTACATTTAAGCAAAAGATTTTTGCTGATTATATTCAAAAATAAATAAAAAGTCAAATAAATTAATAATAGCATTCAAAACTTCATTTTGTACTTTAAGTAAACTTGTAAAGCAGTCTAAAATATATTTAGCATATATATTTAAAAAGTTATATATATATATGCCAAAAAGTTTTATTTAAAAAAAAATTTTTTTTTTTGAAGTCATATAATTTACCCTACTTTAGACATTCTTTATAAAAGGTACCTATCCCTTACTACATATAACGATATGTCAGGACATATATGAAATTTTTAGAAAATATCGTTATATCAAAGTTATACTGATATTTATATATCCTTATAAGGACCCCGAACAATATATATAAATGTAAGTTTTGAGTTTGCTTAGCCAATATATAAAAATTTTTTCCTATGTGAGATTTATTATTGCTTATTTGATAACATAATTTTAAAATAGTCAGATATAATTTGCGTAGCAGAGTATTAAATTATTAATAGTCAGATATATATTTGCGTAGCAGGATAGATTTTTTTAATATATATATAATATAATATATATTTTACATTTTTCAGTTTTCACATTAAAAAAATCTAGTGTAAAAAAAAGTTACTATTTTTAATACAAAGATTAAGTTAATTGTATACGTAATACAGGAAACATTTTTAGACATGATTGTGTAATGTGTTTTTGATAAAACAAATACGCGTCCGCATAACATTAAAATTATAAATCATATACGTGTCCGTATAACATTTAAAAAAATATATATTAAAAATGAAAGCAAGAAAAATAAGTGTTTTTCTGTTTTTTTTTATAATTTTACACTATAATTTTTGTAATAATCAATAAAAGTTATTTCATTTTTACTTAGAAAATTTTTTAAAAATATTTTTTTTGATAAAATTTACAGCATCGGGAAATTTTTTAAGATGCAGAACTGCGGAGATCTGTAAAATTAGCAGATCTTTGCATTTTTTATGTGAATTTATGCGGAAGTCTGCAATTTTGCAGATTTCTGCTTTTTATTTTTTACAAAATTATGCAATAATCTACAATTTTGCATATTTCTGATTTTTTATATATGCATTTCTGCGGAAGTCTGTGATTTTGCAGATTTCTGCTTTTTTTTATATGAAATTTATGCGGGAGTCTGCAATTTTGCAGATTTTTGCTTTTTTTTCATTAAAATATCAGTTCAATCTGCAATTTTATCATTGATTTAATATTTAAACTTTAATTAACTCTAACTTGATTTAATACCTAAATGATTTTTTCTACAATACTTTTTTAAAAAAAAAACTTTACAAGACTTTAAAAAAATAATTTTTTCTATAACACTTATTACTAAAGAAAAAAACTTTGTAAAATAATTTTTTCTACAACACCTTTCAGGAAATAATCTGTTAAAGATTCCAAAGAAAAAATATTTCTATTATTTTTTAAGCTTCGAAACTTATCAGAGAAATTTAAAAAAAATTTATTTGCAAGGTTCGGAGTCTTTAAGGCAAATTCGTCCAATATTCGGCACATAATTTGCAACATGCAGGGAAATCAGAACTAAAAAAGGAGTCGTATTCCTTTTTTTTCTTCTTTGAAAAAAAAAAAATTTTTTTAATGAACGTCAGTTAACGTTCAGTTTGTAAGTCAAGAACATAATAAAGCTTATTGTCAATTTTAATTTGGAAGTATATCACCTCTGAAACTTTAATTATTTTTGGAGAAAAAAAATTTTTTTTTATATTATATAGGTTCTGGATGGAACCTATCGATGATTTAGTTTGGAATTCAGAGGTATGTTTACCTTTGAAATTTAATTTATTTTTTTAAAAAAAAAATAATTTTTTTTTATATTATATAGGTTCTGAATGGAACCTATCGATGATTTTAGTTGGAATTCAGAGGTATATTAACTTCTGAATCTTTAATTTATTTTAAAAAAAAATAATAATTTTTTATTATATTATATAGGTTCCGAATGGAACCTATCGATGATTTTAGTTGGAATCTAGAGGTATGCTTACCTCTAAATCTTAATTTATTTTTTTAAAAAAAAAATTATTTTTTTTTATATTATATAAGTTCCTGAAATTCGGAGGTATATTAACTTTTGAATCTTAATTTATTTTTTTAAAAAAAATAATAATTTTTTATTATATTATATAAGTTTCAGATGGAACCTATCAAAGATATTGGAATTCAGAGGTATGTTTACTTCTGAATCTTAATTTATTTTTTAAAAAAAAAAATTTTTTTAATATTATATAGGTTCTGAATGGAACCTATCAAAGATTTTGGAATTCAGAGGTATGCTTACCTCTGAATCTTAATTTATTTTTTTTAAAAAAAATAATTTTTTTTATAATATATAGGTTCCGGATGGAACCTATCAAAGATATTGGAATTCAGAGGTATGCTTACCTCGAAATCTTTAATTTATTTAAAAAAAAAAATATTTTTTTTTTTATATTATATAGGTTCCAGATGGAACCTATCAAAGATATTGGGATTCAGAGGTATGCTTACCTCTGAATCTTAATTTATTTTTTTAAAAAAAAAATAATTTTTTTTTATATTATATAGGTTTCAGATGGAACCTATCAAAGATATTGGAATTCAGAGTATACTTACCTCCGAATCTTAATTTATTTTTTTAAAAAAAATAATTTTTTTTTATATTATATAGGTTACCTCTGAATCTTAATTTATTTATTTTTTTAAAAAAAAACAATTTTTTTTTTATATTATATAGGTTCCAGATGGAACCTATTGATGATTTTAGAATTCAGAGGTATGCTTACCTCCGAATCTTAATTTATTTTTTTTT